TGCTTCGTTTGTTTTTTACTGAAGTCATCTTCAAATTCAGAAAAGGGAAGAGCTTGGTTTGGAGAGTGGTCAAAATTAGAGCAAGACTCAACGATCACTGAGCAGGAGATGGGGACGGAAGAGAAGAAGAAAGGGTAGAAATAGGTGGAGATAGATCAAAGTGGGGTTTTTTTGCCTTTGTTAATTTTGAGGGGACAAATGGTTGGATTTTTTACGTAATATGTTGATTCATCATGTCCCACATTAGAGCAATATGAACAGTATTTTGGTAAGCGCTCGAACCCGACGGTGAGGTCGACGCGCTTGTTTTCGCAAGAAATGGCAATGCTATCGGGATGGGGGATTCAAAATTGAGGGCTACGCAAAAGCAGGAATAGTGGAGACGAGTTTTTTTCAGTGTAGCATCATCAACTTTTAATAAGGTGCAAAGATGTTGGCGATGGTTCGAAGGACCTTTAAATTAAAGCAATGAATAAAGAGAAGAACTGGATTTTGATCCAAACGGGAACAATGGGTGGTTCTTTTTTGAAATCGAAATCCGGCTGACCAATTTGAAAATTTGCATTGGAAAATTTAGAATTGAGATTTCATGTTTCAACCAAAGTTAAGTGGACGTGTTTGGGTTGTCAATTTTGATTAAGACGTGATTGGCATGGAGAAAGAAAAATTTGCATCCAGTAAAACCCAAATGAGCAAGGTTCGATCGGATAGCCTCGTTAGAGGGCCTGCCAAAAGAGAATTTGCCTATGAGGGCGTATTTTAGGTCCCCAACATTTTTTAGACTTTCGGAGGGGAGAATAGAACCTCCAGAATGTTGTCGGAGAGAGAAATAGAGCCATAAGAGAAGGGGTCAGGTGGTCGGTGTTTTGGGCAGCCGAGAGGGAGAATTTTGCTAGTCCGAGGCCGACGGATGAGGCAGAGCCGAATTGAAAGGGTCGGACCAGGTTCGGGCCAGCCTGGGGGGAGTGGCATAGATTGAACGTGGCTGGGTTGGGTTCGTGACGGGCTGGGAAATTTGGGTTTGGTTCGGACTAGGCGGAGTGGGGTTAGCTTTAGGTGGAAGAGGTGAAGTGTGGATGGGTTTGATTTTGATTTGGGAGGGCTAGGAAGGGCCAAATATGAAAAAAGGTCCAGTTGAATTTGACCTAAAAAAATAGAGACAAATGGACTTGAATTTAGAAGGCCTAATAAGATGGAGAAGAGAAGAACTAACTAACCCAAGAAGAGGAACCCAAGAATTAGGCAGGTACAGGACTAGGGCTAGCTGAGGATGTTGCGTCGCCACCTTGTGACCGGAGGTAGAGAAACCGACGACGGCGACTGAAGAAAAAATCGGCGACTTCCGGCGGGGTCGATTCAGCATACGGGAGCGAACGGAGAGAACCGATGGGAATCGTTTTTTTTGATTCAGTGAGTCTGGGGACGACGTTATGTGCAGAATCACTCGGACCGTTGGAAGTTTTGGTAGCACGTAGGAAGAGAGGTTGTTGTCCGGTGGATATTAGTGCCGCCGGCAAGCTGAGGAGGTACTCCAGGTCACTGGGAGGCCATTCACAAATCATGGCTAGGGTTCAATCACTTGTTAGCTCTTCTTGGCATTTTATCGAATAACTTCTGTGCATTCTTTTCTTTTTTTTTTTTCAGCCCCGTTGGTTTTTGAGGTTGCCGCAAAGCTCGTTGTTCCC